TTTTTCTGTAGATGGAGAATCCTCTGTTCAATATTTTGTGTGCTGTTTTTGAGCCGATGGAGCCAGCATAACGCTGGTTCTCAGAGAGACGGAGGCTTTGGGGTTTGCGAGTTTTGCGACTAAGACTTGATCATACTGGTTCAATTTGACCGTAAAAAAATTCTTGCCTCGACAAGAATGACTCGATCGGCTCAAAAACGTCACAAAACATTGAACAGAGGATTCTCCATCTACAAAAAATGTTTGGTCTCGAAAATGTACCTCAGAAAGGAAATAAAACGAAAAACGTATCTCTTTCCCCTACACTCCTTAGTAATTTTGYCCCCCAAGCAATATGACGTCGGAAACCGTGAAAGGGTCTATTATAAGTGTATAAAACGGGGTTTTTTTTAAATTATTTCTCGTCTTTAAATTTTGGTTTTGGCTTCGTGGTTTGTCAATAAGTTATTTTTGGACTTCAAAAGTGCGCAAACCTCAGAAAGTAGTCTATTAGAGCCCTTTGAATTGGAGCACAAAAGACATGAGTGTTTTGCCTTGTGTTGTTAAGATAGATAAATAAATAAAGTTCATTTCACCAGGGTATGGCGTTGGTAATCATAGGGCCCCTTCGGCCCCTAAAAAACTTTGAATGTTCAAAAACTGTGCTCTGAAAATAGCGTAGCAATTCGCTTCATAGGTACTGAGATATGACATTTAGCAGATGACGGATGACTGGAAAATTCATAGTAATAATAATAGCTCTTTATAAGCTCTTTATAGCGTCCTTAATTACAAATTAACTAACTAAACTAATTATACATTAAAATTATGCTAAAATATAATTAATGATACAGCTAAAATATATTATTAAATGCTTATCTAAAAAGGCATCTATTTGAGAAACCTTTGCTCAGTTTTTACGGACTGGAGAATAAAACTACGTACTCTATCTCTTAGACCCTGGTTTTCTTGGGTTGATGCATATGGAATAAAGGGTGATAAGTCTGAGTTACTTTATCCCATAATCTATAATTCTGATTTTTCAATCATGTCTTTCACTAGCCGATCGTCGCATAAGAGAGTAAATTAATCAGGAAATAAAGTCCACACTACATATTAACGGCGAGACTAGATCCAATCTATAGAAAGAGGTCTATTTTCTACATTGTTTGAAAAGAAAAGGTATATGAAAAGGCCTTAATTTTTGATCCTATTTTTATTTCATATGCAGACAAGTTTGAACTTAGGAATATTATATAAACATACGTGGTCGACTAATGCGTAAAGTGATCGCGATCTGCTTGACCTGAAAAGATTAGCAGCTGCTCTACTGGCTTTTCAAACTCTACGACAAAAGATGGTTCAGAACACTGTGAGCTTGATTCTTTGCTTTCTTGCTGGCCACGTCTTGATGATCAGCGCATCGTACAACGAGTGTGAGGTCCAAGAATTTAAGAGGTGTGATAAAGTCTACACAAAGGCGTTTCAAGAAGCTGACGAGAACGAAAGCTTGGTCGATATCTACTGTAATGCCTACAAGGTACAGTGTAAAACAATAGAAGTGTGATAGCGGTGTCAGGAATATGACCCACCATGCATTGTTATGGGATGGACCGCTCTCGGTACGAGCTCCGGGATCTTTATTCGACTTTTTCTGACTCTATTCTTCTTCTCTGACTTAAACTAATTACATGAGCTCTATTTGTAATAACTTCATGACAGGTGTCATTCTACAATCAATATGATATTATCGCTGTGCCTTGATTGGCTAATGGAAATAGTAAATTCCTAAGTGTGATATCTTATTAA